CCCCTTCGCCCCCCACGCGTGTGGGAAGAGGCGGCGGATCGGGCTCACCTTGCGCCACCCCCTGGGAGGGGGCGGGGCGGGTGCCCTGCCTCACCTTGCCAAACCCGTTTGGGGAAAAAAAGGGCGGGGCGCATCCCGCCCACCTGCCCACAGCTGTGTGAGGAAGGCGGGTGGCTAAATCCTGGTCTCACCTTGCGCCACCACGCTGTGTGAGAAAGGCAGACGGCTGATCCTGGCCTCACCTTGCGCCACCACGCTGTGTGAGGAAGGCAGGTGGCTGATCCTGGCCTCACCTTGCGCCACCACGCTGTGTGAGGAGGCAGGCAGCTGATACCTGGCCCTCACCTTGCGCCACCACGTTGTGTGAGGGAGGCAGGCAGCTGATCCTGGCCTCACCTTGCGCCACCACGCTGTGTGAGGAAGGCAGGCGGCTGATCCTGGCCTCACCTTGCGCCACCACGCTGTGTGAGGAAGGCAGGCAGCTGATCCTGGCCTCACCTTGCGCCACCACGCTGTGTGAGGAAGGCAGGCGGCTGATCCCTGGCCTCACCTTGTGCCACCACGCTGTGTGAGGAAGGCAGGCGGCTGATCCTGGCCTCGCCTTGCGCCACTACGCTGTGTGAGGAAGGCAGGCGGCTGATCCTGGCCTCATCTTGCACCACTACGCTCCCACCATTTCCACCACTCAGTGCCACCCACTCCCTCCCTATGTTGTTTCTCTGGGAATTTCTTGCCGGAGGTATGTACCCGAATGCCCGAAGCCAGTCGAAGACACGTGGATCACGAAGCCACCTTGATCAACAAGACACGTGGATCTACAAGCCGCGTGGATCTACAAGCCGCGTGGATCCACAAGCCGCATGGATCTACAAGCCACGTGGATCCACAAGCCGCGTGGATCTACAAGCCACGTGGAGAACAAGAAGAGACATAGATCACGAAGCCACGTGGATCAACAAGCCGCATGGATTTACAAGCCACGTGGATCAGTAAGCCACGTGGATCTACAAGCCATGTGGATCAGCAAGGCGCATGGATCAGCATGCCTCCCTGTGGATCAGGCCCTGATCTCCCTGGCTGTTACTGCTGGCCGCACGTAGTCCAACATACGAACCACAGCCCGCTGATCCGGCACCTACTTTAAGTATCTGTCTCTTGAAGGCAGCCATGGGTGTATTGGTAATTCCCCTTATGCATGGTGGGAGGCTGTTGAACAGTCTTGGGCACCTGACACTTATTATGTCCGGGTCACATGCTATTATCTGCTGCTTGACGTCACCGCACGACTGTCACCTCTCGACGTCACCCTAAGACGTCACCTCGCAATGTCCCCCAGGATGTCTGCTCAACGTCACACCATGGCGTCACCTTGTGAAGTCATATACTGACGTCACCCCGCAACGTCACCCAGGACATCTGCCTGACGTCACGACGTCAAGCCTGATTAATACCTGATAAATTATGCTGATACCTAATTTTTACTTGATATAGTATGCTGATACCTAATACGTGGTAAATTATTCTGATACCTCATTAGTACCTGGTAAATTATTCTGGTACCTAATTAATACCTGGTAAATTCTGGTACCTAATTTTTACTTGAAAAAAGATGGTACTTAATTAATACCTGGTAAGTAATAGTACCTATTTAATGTCTAGTAAATTATGTTGGCAATTAATGCATGGTAAATTATTATGCTGGCGCCTAATTCCTAGTAAATGCTACTACCTAATTTATTTCTGATAATTTATAGAACCTAATTATTACCTGTTAAGTACCTTATTAATACCTGTAAATTATGTTGGCACCTAATTAATAGCTAATAAATGATACTGGTACCTAATTAACACTACAATAAATTCTCATAGATTTAAAGAAAACTAATTATGAAAATTAATGAACATTTATAGTCTGACTACCGCACGAGGGTCATTAAGAGGGTCATTAAGGGGGTCATTAAGGGGGTCATTAAGAGGGTCATTAAGGGGGTCATTAAGGCTGCATGTCGCCTGTTTACAATATGCAGCCTTAATGACCTTCCTGGAGTAGATAGGCTTGAAACCAATTAACCTATCAACCAGTCTTAATGACCTTTGTATAGTAGATACCTTTAAACCGCACTAACCCACCAACCAGCCTTAACGGCCTTCATGTAATGGATAAACTTTAATCAAACACCACTAACCAACCAATCAGCCTTAATGACCCTAGTGTAGTCGATAGATTTGAAACCCTACTAACCCGCCAACCATGACTTAATCCACGGTTCACCAAAGAACTCAGCAGATCCAACATGGGGGTCGCGACCCACGATTTGAGATGCACGGCGTCCATAATTTCCTCTCAATATTATAGATTACTTAGGAAATGCTTCAAGATATTGACTTCTATTCCTCCCGCACAGCGCTGTATGATCCTTATGGGTTTATAATTTATCAGTGTATATAACTTCCTGCTGTTCCCCTGTGTACCTGTTTCGCGCCTCTTGAAGAGCCTGTC